CAGATAGCCCTCGTGTAGCTTTGCGCGAAATTCCAAAACAAACAAATCTATTGATGAACTAAGGCGTCATCTTTTAAAATGGGGTCACTGTCAATTTATATCTAAGTGTATTTTGTTTTCAGTAAGTAAGTTACTTTACTTGTGTGAGTTATTTGAATACAATAAACTTAATAGTGTGCAATAAATAAGAATTTGAGTCAGTGGATTGTTTCCTATTGGCTGCTGTGTTCTAAAACTAAGCTTACATGATGTATTAATATAGAAACATATTTATTGATTTCACAGATACACAGTTTAACCAAAAAATGCTCGAGTCTGTGGTATATTCTTAAGTTATAAACTTGTTTACCCTTACAGACGCTTAATAATCAATAGCTCGATAAACCACAGATTATTTTATTTACTCTAAAAGTGATGTTCCTTACTTATAATCTGCCATGTCTTATGGTATTTAGCAATTGGCTCTAGCAGTTTTGAAATCTGAACTTCATTATTAACTGTTGAGATAATGTATCTTGAAGGGATGATGATTTATTAGAAAGTATAAACATGGACTTTGAGATAAGCAGAAATGTTTTTTTACATACATATAAATCTATCATTTACACTTTGGAACTTGACAGAAGTAAGAGCTGTACTCTCCACCCTCAGTTTACAGGTTACACTAAATAAATATTGCATAATAAGATATTAACTCTAAATTAATTTAACCTCGAAACTGTTGAAATCAAGTTAGAATTATTGTTTTACTACATTTTTGAAATTTGTTAAGAAGTTATCCACTTGATACTTCAGATGTCCTGTGTTGTCGTGATAGGGTTAGAAATTAAAATTCTTCCTTTATGTCTTGTTATAGTTGATTACTTATGATTTGAGAGGTACAGTACTACTTCATTAAATAAAAGTTTATGCAAGATAACATTAGTTTATTGTAAGGTCATTCAAAAGTTACTAAACTGTTTTGGAATTGATGTGAAATTTTGTACATTGAAGCTTGGTACTCTGTTTAAGGTAATGGTAAAAAGAACAAATCGACCAGGAATCAGTACAACTAATAGAGTCCCTAGAGGTAGATTTCGTAGGGGAAGTCGGAATCCTTATTATGGATATAGGCCAGTAAGAAGGTCTTTTAGGTAAGTTTATAAAGATGGAAGAAGAGTGATACATTGTTAATTCATGTGAAATTATTGTACTGCAGCTGGTGTGTTTAAGTAGCATTTTAAAAAATCTGTTATCTTTTAACAAGTTTCAGTCTGTAGGAGCTTTAAAAACCATATTCCAGTTTTTTATGTTTTAGAGTGCAAATACATAACCAAATTGCATGAGAAAATTCATAAAATCTGATTTGATATTTCTATAGTGTTTTTAATTTGTGAATTTAACAATTGTGTTTTGAAACACTTGAAAAACAATAAATACTTCCTTTCGTCAATTACTTTTTTACTGTTCATCAGAAAGCTCCATTTTTTTATATCTAATCAATTTTAACTTGTTTGATATTTATTAATATATATTTCTTTTAATACGTTATTCTGCTGACTGAAACAGTTAACTTCCTATTACAAATCATGGAAATTCTGTAAGACTGACAAACATTTATAAGTGACCAGTGGCTTCACTTTTCAAAATAATCTAATCTTACCTTTGTCAACCATTGTAACTTGCCAACAGTATTTTTGATTAAGATAATTTTACATCTAAAAGTTGATGTATTTTCTATAAGTAAAAAGTCCTTTTATTATATGTGCATTGTTTTAGTACAGTAAATTTAACGTGTTCTATATAAAGTATTTGTGTTGTCTTAATAGCTTGATGTCACAGGCTTAGATTACCATACTCTCTAAACCTAAATATACTTACTGTCTTACAAAAGAATATTCCTGTAACTACCTGATGGACATAATACAAACATTATCAGCAATGAACATTATCAGAAAATATAATAGAAATAGTCTTAAATGTTATGGAAGTAGTCTAAACTTAGTCTTGGGATTACGTCAGCACCATTGTGTAACAGTTGGCCAGTAGGTGTAGTTGTTGGGTTGACTTCACACAAGTTACAAATAGATTTATTTGTTACCATGTCATGCAGTTGTGGATTAAACACACAAGCCACCAACTCAAGGAAGTTTATGCTTGGAATAAAGAATTCAATCAGAGACTAGTTATTGAAATATAATATAGAAGTTTAATTAAAAATGTTCAAATGTTCTTCAACATCAATAGGGCCAAAACTGTCATGAAATAATTCTATATCATAGTTGCCAAGTTCTTCATTCTGGATGGTTAACTACTCATTGGTCAAACCTTCTACAAGATTCATCAACATAGATACTATAACAAACAAATTATCAATTAGGTGAACACTAGATGTGCATTCAGACAGTTATGTTTAGCCAATTCAGTTAAAACTTCTTTGAAAATTTCTTTCAACAGCTCTATTACTTCTGTTAGTTTTGCTAAATCTGTGACAGAGTTGTATCTCTTATTACTGTTCTTTTCCGGATATGTATAATACTTATTAGATACGTTGTTAGACTGGATAGAAGCAATAATAATTACTTACAAAGACTTTGTGCAATGAATGTTTTCAATACTTTGAAGTACATCCATATTTGGGCAGCAGGTCTCTTAGCAGCTCTGGACCAAGGGATCTCTTCTCTGGACCAAAAAACACAACATTTTATATACATTCTCTTGTGTTCGTCTGATTTCTCAAAAAGTGCTGTACAGCTATTTTGCAGGTAGTTCCTTCACTTAATTGGTACATTCATGACTTTTTGCTAAACCAAAACCATAACTATTTTAATTGGTTGGTATGCTAAGCTGTTTAATCTCAGTCATTTCACATATATTCTTGTTGCTTCCCATCAAAGCTCTGTATTCATTGCTTTTTGCTACTGTGATTGCATCTGTTTAGAGCTAATAAGAACTACTGGTTTCCAAGTCTGGTATTACAGCTCGGAATGCATTTTCAATCAACGCTTGTATTTTACTTAGTGCCTTTCCTGTCACTCTTTGGTCACTTCATTAAGTTCCTATTATGCTTCTACCACTGTGGGTGTCTTTTTTTTTCTCGTCTTACATGTATGTATGAGCACATATAAAAATTCAATTTTCAAAACTTTAAGTATTTGTAACTTTAGCAAATGCTTCAATTGACCACAGAAAACATTTTCAAGAGCCTGATTAATTTGTACATTGTTTTATTGTATTCTCAGTTATAGAGTTAACTATGTGTACAGGCAAATGCAATTTGACTAATCTTATAACCATCATGAAACTATACATAATGTAACTGAATGTATTAAGTGTATCTTTATGAAACTTGGAAAGCTTTCAGTGAACATGATGAATAGGTTGTAAACAAAAAATCAGATTTTTTACTAATGTTTTGTCTGTGAATATACAAAACCTTTAGCGAGTGAGTTTTAGTGAAAGGTGGTTTTCATGCTAAGATCAAACATACTTCTTTTCATATTTTGTTTGAATAACCTCTATAACTTAAATGAATTTTTTATAAAACTTCATATTTTATCTGTTATTTTTTCTACCCCAACACTATCTGTAGCTAAATCAGCAATTTAAAGTGAACTTAATTTTTCTTTTAATGCATCATTTGTTGCCAGATATTCAATTAATGACAATCACAATATTTAACTGTTAACCTTCTCGCATTAATATTATAGTTTTGTTGCCTGGCTTGTACAAAATAGGCAGTTTACTCTTCCTTGAAAGCCAACACATCTTGGCAGATTTTGTACAGTGGTGTACTGCTTGGCATGAAATAGTTCACTCAAATGCATAGCTAAATAGGCATAGTCCCCCCCTCCCTCTTCCACACGCACATCTCTGAGTTGATTATTTAGAGGGAAAAAAATTACATTTTTAAACATTTCAGATATGCATTTTAGAACACAAAAATATATCAAACACTAAAATAAAATGCCCCAAAATTACTTTTAACTTATCTGGCTTTTCAACTAACCCACAGACAGGGTTAATAAACTTCATTACTGTTATAAGCAACAACTGCATATACACACTTTCTCTTAACTAACATCTGTTTCTGCCAAATTCAAAAGGATGGTTACTAGCGTAAATAAATTCTTTCTGGTTGGTTGTAAGTGTACATCAGATAAGAACATGTGGTTTTGAAAACTGCCTTGAAGTTCGGGATAGATGGGCAGGGCTTCTGTTGTATGTTGGAAAATCATATTGATATCTCAGCAAACGTGGAAGCCAAGATATTAATATTGCATATTTGACTTTATTATTTATAGCTTATGTTTATATACACTAGAAATTGTATTATTGAATTTATATAAACTAAAAGGAAGAATTGAGAGAACATGCAAGTTACATGACAACATGAATGAAGATTGAGAATTTGTTTTTAATATTTCCATTTCAAATTAAGAAATTAAAACTTAGTTTATAATTCAAAGCTTATTATCTACATTTTAATGCCAATTTATTGACAAACATTGAAAATAAAGCTGTTCAGTTGAATTTTAATGTAACTGTAAAACATCATGACATGCCTGGTGGATTGATGCTTGTGCTGAAAAGGTTAAAACTTGTAATTTTTCCTTTTCTGGTGGTTATTAGCTTTAGGCTATATTCGTTTTAAAGCTAACAATCTATTTGTGGTGGAACAAAGAGAAGGCACACGAACGTGAAATGCATATTAAGTTAACAGATTGGGAAAAATGAGTATATCCTTAGGAGCCAGCAAAAACTTTAAAGAAAGCTAGAAGTGTGGTATTTATAGCTCATATGCTTATAGATACAACAGAAAGAGAGAATTTTTCACTTATGAAGTAAACTAGATAAGCATTATATAATGCTAAAATATCACTTTTCCAATATTGTTTAATGAATATATTCAGAATAGTATAATTTATAAATTATTATTAGACTTTGAAAATATAGATAACAAAATGTAGACTGCTGAACAAGCATGGTTTTAAGTTTAAGACCTTTGACTGCCAATATTATGCTTAATGTTGTTGCTTATTGTTTTACTGGGTTTTCAGCTATTATGACTTTTTGACTGCAGGATATGAAGTGTAATGAAAATATTTCTTTGTTTCAGAAGCAGACGAGCATGGTTCTTTTCTCCGTACTGAGGTTATCCCTGAGATAAGGTCTTGTAACAGGCTAAATTTTTCATTGGTATAGTTTTATTGAGGTAAAACTGCCCTTGGTATTTTAAGGATGTTCACAGGCCAGAGATGTAAGCTTGTTTCATAGACTGAAATTGGTGGGCAGGCACAGTCATGGGTTTGACTAAGAAATGTATTCATTAAATTGGAAATCTCTTGTTGTTCAAAAGAAAAACAAATTAAGGAAAATTGGGTTTTTCAGCTTGTTTTTATTGGTAAAATTTTATAAATACTGCATAACTTTTTATTATTTTGTATGAGGTAAAACTGCTCATCAAAGTATACTGTGGCATACCTCATTTTCCTGTTCGTACTGAAAAAGAAATGATGAATATGAAGATTTGTAAATTTTCAATTGTTCATTAGGGGTTTATGCATCCTTAATTAATTGTATGTTTCAAACACGTTGTTTTTAAGATTATTGAAGAATGTTGTCGTGGGGGGGAAAAGATTTTGTATCATGTTACTCCTTGACCAAGTATTTAATTTCCATCGTATGTATTCTCTGTTTTTCTTGATGTAGTCATTTATACAAGATAAGAAATATAGGGTACACAAATTTTACAGACAAAAAAAATCATTACATATACCCTACCTGATCACTAACCCTATTAATTTAGAAGAAACTACGTGTAGAATAGAAAGTTATTTAAAATCACATTGGTAACTGTTCTGAGTGTGTCTTGTGTAAGTGCCATATTTTGTCCATCAGCCAGTTAGAAGTTACCAACTAGAAAATGTACAGTGGAAAAAAATCATACTTCTAAAACAATTTGTATTGGATTTTACAATGATGCGAATCATTTGAGTAAAAGTAAGCTCTGTGAGACTGCAGACACTGTATATACTTTCATATTTCATTCTTGATTTGTGATCTATAGTCCTGAAAGCAAGGAAAATCGTTATTTTTTTTTCCCCACTTTATTAAGTTGATAAATCTAAAATTAGTGCAACTTTAATAACTAATTTTTTTATAATTTTCTCCCCTATGTTAACATAAGGTATAATTTCAATATTTTTATTCAATCTCAAATTTGGTAAAATTTATACAAAAAATGTTAGCAAGGTTTAGACCATGTTTAAAATTAGATTGTAGTTCATTATAAATAATAATGATAAACACATTTAGTGGCATAGTTTTAATTTTGGAAGGCACAATCAAAGCCTGGAAGAGTGCTAGATTTCAGCCTTTCCCTTAAGAATGAAGTTTGTTTCTTCAAGTATTAGGTTTTCTTGCTAAAGTTTAGGCCATTAGATTTAAGCTGGCATTTAAGTGATCAGGATAAAAACATATTGAGTGTTTTTACTGAGAAATGTGTCTAGGTTAAACCAAGGACTGAATAGTGGTTAGATTTGTGAAGGTTTCTTACATTGCTAAATTGCTAGAAATTGTGTAACCATTAAAGAAAAAGTATTAAAATATTGTACTGGTGTGGATCTGGGATAGGTAAATAAGTTCTATTTAATGTTTTCATCTAGTTTTACAAACAGTTATTGCTGTATAAAACTTTAAGTAACCTCTGTAGCTGTTAAGTGTACAGAATTATTGTTTGGAAGGGTCTTGTTTCAATAGCTCTGAGAAGTTTTTTGATATTGCATTTGAAATTACCTGTAGTAAGTGCAAATTAATCCAGTGAATGTTACCTATAAGTGTTAGTTTTTTTATATACATTCTACTTAATCTTAAGGCCTTGTCTTGAAATTATGTTCGTTGGTGTGATTCACCTTGTTTAGCTCTCCTTTTAACTTATATTCTGTCTTGTCTTGTTTGTTTTTCCATTTTATCTCCAGAGGCTTTATTCCAGGTTTCTACAGACTTTGAAGTCAGAGCTATTGATGGCTTGTCCTTCAAGCTCTCCGGCTTTCTACGTGTAAGATTTTCAGGAAAAAAATAAAAATTTTCATGTATCTAGTGTGTTCTTTTGTAATTTGTGACATAATTTAATGTGAAGTTATAGTAGGTTGTTCCCACAGTTTGGCAATCATATGAAATTGAAGTAAATTTAATTTTTGGTACAAAATGGTACTTAAGAAAATCAACTTTTTGGGATTAATTGTTTGATAACTGTTTGAAGATAAACCACACTTAAACATACAAGTAATTTTATTCTACTTTTCAAAAACATTATTAATGATTACATCCTTCAGTTAAAAAATTAATCGTAACTTTTTCTGAATATTTGGATAGTTATAGTTTTAAAGTTGGCACAGAAGATTATCAGTTTCATAGTTAGGACTTAATCCACCGTATAATAAATATACAAGCATTGTCTTTCTCCCTGGAGAAAACTGTCCAAAAACACATGCAAATGAGAACCATCAAATGTTTTCAAAGAACCTTGTAGTGAAAATAATGGTAAACATAGGGTTGGCGAAAATAAGTTAAATAGCATTAGAGAAAAAATCTGAGTATATTAAAAATAAAAAAGGCAGTAGTACTAAAAGGAAATGGGCAATATTATTAAACTAGAAAAATGCATTAAGAATGGATCTTGGAGAATTGCTTACTGCTGAAGGTGATGCATTGACAGATACTTTAAAAAAAAGGCAATTCTTTAGTATTAATTGTTTGATAACTGCACATACTGGAAACATTGATGGGATACAATTGTCACTGATGAAACAAACATATGGATTGAATGGAGTATGACTGATGACCTCATGCACTAAGTAGATAAAATGTATCTGACAGAGGTGGTAAACAGGGTAACATGAAGCCAACTTTTAGAACCTGTTAAAATGTACGTTGTATTTAATAAACTACAAAGAGGAAAGTGCTTTTTGTTCTTTGATGGGGGTAACTAATTAATGCAAGAGCTCCTCCCTGTAAAAGTAACAAAATTGTCTTCAACAAGAGGTCCTATTGAAAATAATTCCTGGATAGTTCAGAGTCTTGTGTGTTTATTGATATATTTTAGTAGTTTAACTGGTTCACATGATGAATTCTTTTACTAGTATATGGCATAAAAGACAGTCCGGATAAATCCTATCTAAAACATGCACTGTTTGGACTTCATGCCTGTTACCTCTTGATGGATTAAAGAACGTTTCTTAGTTTGGGTTTCTTAAAATAGATACATGCAAGGTTGAGAAAAGTCATTTTAGTTTAATAATACATTATGGAATATATCTTGAAAATAGATAAGTTCTGTTATAGTTTGATTCACCATTTTTAACAATGGTTTTCAACAAAAGTTTATTCCAAATATAAGAAGCAAATTTTTCATCTTTAAGGTAAAAATAAATAGGATCATGTTACTTCAAAAGATGTATCATGTGTCACTACACTCCAAAATAAATGAATGAGCATTAACAAAATAGAAAACGATTAGTTAAATTGAGAGGTATTTTTAAATGAAATTGGAATGTCAGTTTTATTTCATTTCTACTTAGATTTGAACGTTGCTTTATATAATAAAATAAGTTAGACGTTCTCGGAAAGAACACTGTATTTACTATAAGTAAATATATCCCAACTACCATTTCTGTATTATGTGAACTCGGTTGTGGATATGTTTATGAACGCCGCTATTAAGAAAGTGTTAAATTGGCCATTATTTATAAATAAATTGGAGGTAAAGGTTTCAACAAGATCAATACAGGATGTAAACAACTAAATGTTTTTTGCTTTCGGGCGCGTGAATATATAGTTTGTGTTGTATAATAGTTCTGCAGTAAAGGTATAAATAAAACTACCTATTTTGTGAAGCAATTTATATTGATAAAGTATGACTTATTCTAACTTGAATAAAAAAATAGATTCTTAGAATTAATTGTAGCAAGAAAAAATCAAGTAACACAGTAGGAATTGAGTAAAGTTTACCAAAAAGGATACCCTGCATAAACACTAGCACCAAATTCATTCAGCATAAGTTTACAATTGAAAATAAATATATGTTTAATTGAATTTTGATAATATTTGTGTAAAAAAATCATAATCACATATTGGAAGAAACAATAAATCTTAAGTAATTCTAAGAACATATATCACTGCTTTTAAAATACTGTGATATATATGTGTAAACAAATTAAGAAGTTATTGTCCGGAACGTAATTTTACAACCAAGCTATATTATGTAGGTTTTGTAGATAAGTAACAAAGGTACCATGAAAATGTTATCTTTGGTAAGGCTTAGCAATACATTATAAACCTTCAATATATATATATAATCATCCTGACCGGTGTTTTTGTTTTTTAACCTCTATGTTCATGAAACATTATTACTTACTGTATGAAAACCAAATGTATAGGGTTATCTATTCCGGGTTGTAGTGCTGTCAAAGCACCTGTACTTTGAGCTTAGCCCCATTCCTTCAAAAACTAAAATTATATGTGAAAATAAATCATCCAGCTTACATCCGATATTAAGTGTGCTACGGAACCAAACACATTGGGTGTTTGCGATTCCTGTGTTCACTGATCAAGTGGAAAAGTTCCATATGACCACCCCGGCTCAAGGGCAGATGTTGAGCATTAAAACTGTGAAATATTTTTCTCATACTGAATCACGTGGTTTTTAAGACACGCAAATATAATTATCAAAATACATTTTACAGTTATGCTGTGTGTCTAAAACGTAAACATTTTAAAAGTTATTTATATAATATACAACGAACTAGTGTATTTTTTTCACAACTTTTTATGCAGGTGGGACAGGAGTGCAAAGCATTGTAAAAGTCAATATTGTAATGGAGTTAGAAACAGTAATATTAGTCATTTTTATACGGCGCACATTTTCCCCCTTTACTGCTTAATTTATGGGGAGTTAATTGCGTGTTTTATTTCGGTAATATATGCATATTCAGTTTGGTACTTATTTAAGTAGTCTCAAATAATAATTGTTGCACTTATTTTTTTTTAAATTTAAAATGGAAATTAAGTTTTGAATACAAGATATTACCCTGATGTTGACGTCACACGTCTGATAAATTATGGCAGGATTCCGGTACAATAAAATTTAGCACTACACCACTGATGTCTTTTGAAAGATGAGTAATATTAATTGAAGTTATATAAATAATAATGAACAACTGGTGTTAAATAGTAATTAAAAATTATAAACCTAATTCTGATTTTTAATGACTTAAATATAATTGCTAATCACTGCAGTTCACAAAATTAATTTAGATTACACCAAAATAGTTGTTTAAGTAACCAATGTCTTAAATAGTATCTCAACTAGTACTATGTTTTTGTCCTACCAGAATTTCGTACATTTCATTTCTCCTGGCCGAGGAGAGATAGCACAACACTGCGAGCACGCCTGTTTCCTGTCTGGGACTGGCATAAAATATAATAACAACAACAAATAATAATATATTTATTGTATTCCAGCCAGTCTATTACCGGACGAAAAGCCTCGTGGCGTTGGATATAGCAAATTAGTTTGGTTGGTATATAATTATATTTTGTTATTATTTCGTTCGTAAGTTATTATAAGCATGTATATTTGTTTTTGTTTGTAGACTGCATTTCAATGTTCAATCAAAACACAAAAGTGTAAAGGATAAAGTAATTAACAAAAACCTTTAAGTCAGTAACAAATGTTAATATTGTTACGTCTCCGTTTGTTAATTAACTTTCCGTCACTTCGTTCCGACGAAACTTGCGACACAAGTTCTTTACTTAATAAAACTGATTTATTCTTTCCGAATATAACTTTACCGATACACTCAACTTCAACAATCGCGTTAAAACAAACGCTAATCAACGAACGTCAACAATACTTCCGACTGCAGTTCAGTTACTCACTATCTACACACACATTACAATCATCAATCTGCCGCGTCACGTTTTCCCCTCTTATATATACCAGTCTACCCTCTATCTAGTCAGAACTAGAACATTCTCCAAAGTACAGGATAATTCTAGAAAGGAGAGGGCGTG